GAATAAATTATTGGTATGTCGTTCTAATTTACGGAAGAATAATACGACAAGAATTACCTTTGCTTACCGGTTAGCACCTCTATGTTTAGAGCAGCTCGTTTAAACAGCGCCCACTCCATAACGGAAAGATATAAATCTTCATATTATGCCCAAGCATTAGGGAGCGATTACAAACTGAATCAGCGACTGCTTCATAACGGTGTCTCACGGTCGCTGTTCAAAAAATTATAAATCTTCAGAGTATACCGCAGGATGAGTAAGTGAACATAAACTGAAGATCAATTTCTCGCTTGAAACTGATAATTGCTGTCTAAATGCAAATCCAACATTTTTGATAAATTTGCGCATCTGTTTTCATTCATAGAAATAGCTGGCTCTGCTTTCTCGAAACGCAGATTTCATATACTGAGTAACTAGAATGGTGTTTCTTATAACATGGGTTGCGTCGAGAAATAATTTTCGTTGAGGAGTGAAAAGCTATTTGAACAATTTTTGTTTTGTTTTACAGGTATGTATATTTATTTCAGGTATGTATATTTATTTATAGGTATGTATATTTATATTTTACAAGAATGTACATTTATATTTTACTGCTATGTTATTTATTGTATATTATGGATATTATTTTATTTATATTATTGAATTTATACTTATTAATCGATTATTGATAGTTGTTCATATGTATTATTATTAAATCGTTGTAACAATTTTTCTTTTCATAATTTCGTTTTAAATTCCTTCTTTCTCTTTCACAGAGAAGGAAAAATCCTTCTAGAGAATTTCGAGAAAGCAACTTCCTCCTTTCTAGCAAGCTCGCAGGTCGTGATGCTAAAAGATTTGGGAACACTACAAACAAAAATATTAAATGGGGAAGGATTCGAGATATTCCATTACTAACAGTAAATAGTTCGTTATATTTGAAATCGCTTATACACTTCGCACACATACACACACAAAACAAAAGAAAGCAAAAAAAAAAAAAAAAAAAAAAAGAAAAAGAAAAAAGGACAATTCTATATCTCCCGTTCTACTGGGACAATTGACGAAATTCAAATTGCGTTTTTCGTGTCTCGAAAGTGCGACTTAGGATATATATTAGATTTATATATAATATAATTCTAACATAGGTATTTTGACAAAAAAATCGGACTTTTACTGAAATGACATGCTAGTGTTTTTCCATATTTCGATTCTACGACTGAAATGATACCTAAATATTAAATTTTGTAAAATTTGGTGCGAAATTTACGGAGAAATTCAAAACTTTATCTTGGCGTAATTTTTTTCAAATTGCGCCAAGAATAATTTATTTGGCGAATTTCTTAAATTATAGTAATCTATTTTTCTTTTCTACTTTTCATTGTAGACGACGGGGAAAATGTTATTGTTCATACTTTTAAATAATTTTAACAAAGTACGTATTATCGTTTGTCGTTATTATCGCTCAAAAAAAAGATGACAAATTTCCAAAAGCTCCAATATGTAAATTCATGTTTATCTTAAAAAATTTTGAATAAAAATATTCTCATTTTTTGCAATTGTGCCTAGAAATATATCTTCTTTAAGCTCATGTTAAAAATTTTATAGGTTATAACACAAAAATGTTCTTAGAAAAAATTATAAAAAATATAAATTTCAAAAATAAATCATAAAAATGGGCGAATTATATTTGGATTAGGCCTAAATTTTGAATTCTGGAAGAACGAATCATGCAAGTTTAATTAAAAAATAGATGTTAATAAATATATATAAAATTCAATTAACACTGATGAGAAGCTAAAATTTTGAGAGCTAATTTTTTAAAAACTACTCATGCGAGTTTTACAAAATTTGGCAGTTTGGCATATTTTGGGGAAAAAAATGGCATGTTATTTCAGAAGTCCGATTTGGAGTAAAAATATCTGTATTAGAAAAATGCTATATATAAATCTAATACATATCCTAGGTCGCGCTTTCGAGAGATGAAAAACGCAATTTGAATTTCGTCAATCGGCCTAGTAGAACGGGAGATATAGAACTGTCTCTCTCCCCCTTTTTTTTTTTTTTTTTTTTTTTTCCCTCCCGTAGTGTACAATAATAGCCAATGAAAAACAGATGCAATAATTAAACTACTGCGTGAACACATGAAAAATATAATATTGGGTAGAATATTAAAGAGTTAGTTTAACAGACTTTTATCAAGTTTACGGTCTATATTTATTCGAATAAAAAGAAATAGGTTACTTTTGAAAAATAAATAAGGAAAGAAAATAAGTATATACACTTATATGCGTATAGCAGTGGGTCATTTTGATGAAAGTATAGTTTAGTTCAGGGGTTCTCAACCGGTGCTACGCGTACCACTGGTGTTACGCAACGAAGCAAAGTATTTTTAGCTATTAAATTCAAAAATTAAAACCCCAACATCCTGATTGAATTTTTAGTCTAACACTCGTTAATTTATGCGATCTGAATTTTGCTCAAGGTCAATAGCCGCTTATAGACTTTTGCAGGAGGCAAACGATCTGTCTGCATGGCAATTTATTCAGCCATGTTCATTGCTTTCTATTCTTTTAGCCGTAGACATAACAGAATTTTCCAGTATTGATTTCCTAAAAAGAGTGAAAAAAATTAATGCTGTTCTTAGTAGAAAATAAAAATAAGTCCCTACCAAAAAATATAATAGTATCTCATAAATTTTCTTAGAGTTTATCGATTTATTAGCAAGCCCGTTTCACTTTTCAAATTGTTGCCACCGACTATTATCACCATGTGTTATATTTAAAGAAATTTAAAATGAAGGATCTGCATAAATGCATGTATGTTTCTCGCATTGTGATAAAACAACAGAGCCGTCCAGTTTTGAATAACGTAATCCTCCACCGAATACGGGCATTTGGATGCCCTAACTTGGAATTTGTTTTATTAGCGATTTTATATTTTGTAACTAACGAATTTTTGACGAAGAAACTCAATAATTTCAAAGCGAGCAGTGGCAACACTATACGAAAATAAATGAGATGTATGGTTTAAGTGCGAAGAACATGATATTTAATAAATAAAGATAACACACAAAACATTAAAAAACGCATCTTTGAGAGTAATATAATTTTTTTAATATTTGTATTCAAAAATTGAAAAGTAATGATTGTAAAATGTAATGGTGTTAGTGAAAATTTTCAATTTTTGTTTAGATGATACGCGTTAGTCAAAAATAGATGGTAGGCGTTAGTCAAAAGGTTAAGAACCGCTGGTTTAGTTTATTGAAATACCAGAGTCCTCTTCTGAGAAGCGCTCACCGAAAAATTGTTCTGATTGACCCTTACACAATTCGGGTTTTTCATAAAGGTTCGGTTACATTTATGTCAATCTACCGTTCTTTCTAAAGCTGCGGGAAGCTTTCTAAATTTCTGCGATTTTTTTCATTCCCTGCATGATTAGTTAGTCTTACATAAAGGTGTGCAAACCTTTTCGAAAAACGCAGGATTGGCATTAAGGTTGCCGACAATCATTTCAGAGCGGGAAACTGCGATCTTCGGCTTGTGCATGCTCCTTTATGCAGCAATAACATTATGAAGATTTCTATCTCTCTGAACAGTGATCGACTAGCATGTAAGTTCGATACATGTTATACCGAAGCACCGTTATGAAGTCCTTCCGTTAAAACACAAATACTTAGTTTGCATACTTGGAATTCATAAAGAATAATTGCCAAACTAGCAAATTTTTTAAACACTCATTTTAAAAGTGTTTCCTGCGTTTTAATTGATATCCGAATACATAGACAAGATTATAATAACTTAATTTTTTGAAAACTTTTAATAACAAACTTTTCTTCAGGTGGTAGACTGCAATCTGAAGTGTTTAGAAATTCCATACCGCCTCCAACCCTCTTCCCAAGCTGCCATTTTTTACCCTTGTTTCTCTCTCGTAATAAAAGAAATCAAAAGTTAGCATTGGCTTACTGTTCCTTCAGTGTGCCAAAATAAGCGAGTAGTTCGAATCTCCAAGATATGAATAGGACTCATATTGTTTTTTCTCCAGTGGTTTACGACAGACTGCAGACAGAACAGAATGCGATGTATCTAAAATTACCTTCCCTTTAAGCACATCAACATCGCAAAAAACGGCTCGAACCCAATTTTTGTATTCCAAAGCTTGAATCTATTTTTGTTCCAAATTATATATGAGTAACGTTTATTTTTAATTTAAAAGTCATTATTTAACCGATTAAATAGAAGTGGTGTATTTAATTATGGCGAAGCACACGAGGGCTATCTGCCAAAGGGAAGGGATGCCTTCGTGGAGGACTTTCTAATGGAAACTGGCTCGCATACACGTTACACATGGGGAAAACCACAAAAACGCCCATGCAGCCAGCCCGTTCGCGGGATTTGAACCTCGGACCGAACTACCAGTGATCAGCGACTTTACCGCTCGGCCGCTGGTGGGGATTAAATAGAAGTAAAAGTTTTTTTCAATAATTCAAATGTAGCAAAATTTGAAGATTTTTAACAATCAATCAATACTTAATAAAACATTCGTTAAATCGAAGTTTCATGTTTAATTTTTGCTGTGAAGATGAATGTGAAGCAAATTCAGACTCGCTAATCGCAGTTCGTTACATTTAGCAGAAACCTTGTATTTTACATTAACATTTCATCTTACTGCCTTGATTGGTGTAGTGGTTAGGTTGCTGACTGCCTTATAGTTTGACCTAAATTCCCGAAAAAAGCTTCGATGTTTGTTAGTGTTTTGGCGGTGGAAGTACTTAAAATACACGGTGAGCAAATAGTCTTGCGAGTGATTTGGTGATAGAGTGGTGGGGTGGGAAACGCGTTTGCTCTTCTCCAGGGAATTATCCTTCACAATCTGACCCGAAGTGGGCACTTTATATTACATATCAGGTGCCCAAGGCGCATGTTAGTGACGGACGTAATCCTTGCCACAGTAAAATTCGTTTTGATGTAATAAGTGAAATACGTCATAACTACAAATCTTAAAATTTTATTTCTTTTCAGATCACAGAATATGTCCGAGAAAAAGAAGCGCATAGCTATCATTGGTGGTGGATTTTCAGGAGCTGGATCAATAATAATGCTCAAAGAAGAAAATATGGATCCCGTTTGCTTCGAAAAAACAGACAAGCTTGGTGGCACATGGTGCTATCGTGAAGACATAATAGATGGCGTTGCGTCCATAATGCCTACCACGATTATAAACAACAGCAAAGAAATGGGGGGCTTTAGCACATTTCCTCCACCGAAAGAATATCCCAATTATATGCGACATTGGCAACTGTATGAATATTTCAAGATGTACTGCGAGAAGTATGACTGCATGAAGCATATTCAATTTAACATGGAAGTAATTGAAGTTAAACGCACTGAAGATTACGATCAAACTGGAAGATGGAGGGTCACAGCAAAAAATACTGTAACTGGAGAAGAATTCACAGATGAATTTGATGGTGTCATGGTATGCGTAGGGCACATCAACAGACCTCAAATTCCAGATTTTCCTGGACTGAATAAATTCAAAGGGAAAGTTATGCATACACATAGTCTCAAAGACGTGTCAGAATTCAAAGACCAGAGAGTTTTGGTTGTGGGCACGGGATGTTCTGCGTTAGATGCAGCAGTGGAAACAAGCAGTGTGGCTGAGCAGGTAAGTTAAAAGATTACATATTCAGAATATTATTTAATAATTTCTAAATCAGTTATTGTTTGTATGTTATCGCTGAAGTTTGTTTTCAAAAATTACGACATTAAATCACTTAATTACTTAATTAGTTTATTAAACAGCTTTAATTAAAAAAGTGCCTAGATCTTATGTAACGTCAAACAACAGCATTCTGAAAGCTAGCTATTTTCCATTCGTCTTGTAACTTCCAAATCAGGGTGCACATCTCCATGGGGGGAACACACGTTTTAAAGCACAAGAAATAAACATGCAGAAAATTTGAAAAGACAAAGTACTAAAATATTGCAGCTGAAGAAGTAAATATATGATGGCCAAAATCACATCTAAACCAAGAATTCATTGAACTAAGGCTGTCAGCAGGTTTTGGCTAAAACAAACCAAGGGAACGAAATAGGCAGCTGATCCCAAAATCTGAGGATTTCACCATCATTGCAAATGGATTATTTTACTAGCTGGTAACAGAACATGGCCCATTTCGGAAGTACTTGAAAAATTGTAACAGGTCAAGATCAGAACACTGTGTTAGCTAAGAATTGGAGATACGGACTATTATTTGTTCCACGCCCCTTCAATTATCTGTATAATAAATTTACACGAAATAATGTCACACTATATACCAGATTCACAGTCAGAAGGAAGCGTCTGCAGAAGACTTAGAATAGAATAATGCTTCTGGAAAATAGAATGCACTTGAAAATTAAGAGCGAAAATGTGCGACTTCTAAAGCAAATAATATTAAATTAATGATAAATTGTGTGTAACATGAAAAGAATAAGGGGGTTATCGCATTAAATGACATGTGAATCTAAAAGAAACATTTTCTGCAAACGAACTTCTTCTTTTCCCACTAGATCAGTGGTTCTCAAACTTTTTTTGGCCCCAAGTACCCCTTTCACCACTACTAGAAGTTAATTTCCCCCACATCCTTTCCACAACCTGAAAAATACATATATGCATTTGGTATTTTTTGGAAGCAGGAGATGTGAAATGAGCAAACGCCTTCGCCGGGAATCTAACCGCTGACCTCTGGAATACGCGCCCAGCGTGCAGACCACCACACCACGAAGGCATGCTAAGAAGGCGGGAGAAATGCTTAATAAGATAACCTGTTTCTTTCGATACATTTTTGAAAGTAGGTACTAGAATGGATACCAGTTTAAAGCAGCATAAAGTTATTATATTCGATTTGAAAAATACTAATAGAATTATGTACCGGTCACTGCAAAGGAACATTTTAGTTGCAACAATTCAATATCTTCAACGCTTTCTTACTAACATGCTATAGTAGGGATGGTGTGAATTTGTATCTCGCAAATCGATTTTACTGTCTTCTAAAGAAATAATTACAAAAACATTAAGCTAATTTTTATAGAAAAGCAAATAAGTAGTAGTATTTTGTGAAATTTTGCTTTTTCAAGTTGTCTTCTAAGGCTATTCACCTTTGCTTCTGTCATTGGATTTAAAGCGTTATTTAAAGAAATTAATCGGTGCTTGCGTCATTGTGTTTAGAAGGTATTTTCTAAGGAATTTAATCCACGTTTGTATCATGCATAATCAAAAGACACTTAGAAATCAGCTGCAATTTAATAGCTAGGCATAATAATATTTGAAAAAATAATAATTAATACCCTTAAATACAAGTGCTGGTATTCATATATTAACCAAAAATACTTTATAGAATTTAGCATTAATCAAACATGCTTTATATGCGGTTAAATAGAATAATAGAATTTGTTCTTTTCAATTTTAATGTACAATAATTTATATCTGAAAACCAGTGTTTTAAGCTTATTTAATGGGCATGTCTTTGCATAAAATTCAATGTTATGTTTAAAACGTTTTAAATCCAATTTATAATTTATACTTCACCCTAAATACAATAACTATTTCTGAGGAGAACTGAAACAAATAAAAATTTGTTTAAAATAACTGATCATATTTATTACGCATTTTTATAACCCTCATTGATTCGTAGTAAAAAAACATAAATCATAATAATTATCTGAAAACTTGACAGAATTTGATGACTTCTCTATATCTGCAAATAAATGAAGTTCTTATTTAAATTTCTAAATATGGTTTAATTGTATAAATTACGTGTGAGTGTCAGGCGTGTTCATAATTCTATTAGTTTATTTTGAACAGTATTTGTCAGTTTTGAATTTGCGCCTAAATATTTTTTTTTCTTTTCATTAATAGCAAATATTTGTTCTATTGTCAAGTGAAATTTTAAAATTAGGAAAATGTTCGAAATTAGAATCGTAAGTAGCCAACCCATTTTATAAAGGACATGCATAGGTAATGAAAAAAGAAGATAGAAAGAGAAATTTATTTGCATTAGACAGACAGATGTACAAGTATTCGTAGACCAAACAGTTAGACATACATTCTTATTTCTGTGCTATGTAAAGCCTTATCTGTTAAAACAAATGCATACTACTTTTAATTTTTACCTTGCTTTGATAACACTTATATCGTATCCCTAATTTTTAACCATGTTCTTTATTTCTTAGATTTATATGAGTACAAGAACTGGAGCATATGTTCTAGGCAGATTAGGACCCTTTGGCTATCCTGTGGACACAGTATTTCTCAGACGATTCGTAGCTAATCTAATGGATATTCTGCCAACTAACTTTTGCAGTTACTTCCTGGAAAAATCCCTTATAGATTCCAAGTTCCATCATACATTATATGCAGTACCTCCAAAGTACCATGTTTTATCCAAAGATCCAATAGTTAGTGACTACATAGGAGCTAAACTATTGTCAGGATCTGTAATTCAGCAAAATGATATTGATGAATTCACAGAAGATGGTGTCATTTTTAAGGGAGAAGATCGAGTAACTAAAGTTGATAAGGTAATTATGGCAACTGGATACACGTGGGATTTTCCTTTTCTTGAAAAAGGAATAGTTACAGAAAAAGATGGGAAAATTAATTTATATAAATTAATGTATCCACCTCACTTGAAGCACCCCACTTTGGCAATAATTGGTTTCATATTACCTTTTGGACCAGGGATGCCCCTTGGTGAACTACAATGCAGATGGGCTGCACACATTTTCGCTGGAAAAGGCTCTTTGCCATCGAAAGAAATAATGCTGAAAGACATTAACAGACGACATAATATGAACAAAAGGCGATATGCTCCAAGTGAAAAAATGACTCTGCGTGTCGATTATGTTCAATATATGGATGAAATAGCTTCTCGTTTTGGTGTTAAACCAAACTTATTAAAGTTGTTTTTCACAGACATCAAACTATTCTGGAAGCTATACTGGGGACCATGCTACCCTTATCAGTATCGTCTTCAAGGTCCCCACAGTTGGGAAGGTGCTAGAGATGCTATCATGAAAGCAGAAGAAAGAATATTATTTCCTTTACGTGCTAAAAACTGTAAGAGTAAATGAAATATATGAAGTTCTGAACAGAATCATGAGACTTTGTTTTTGTAAAATATGGTATTTACCAACGTCCCTCAGAAGTGCGTGTTAAATCACTGAATTTGATAGCTAAATTTACAAAGACCAAAACCTATCGTAAAAAAATGGAATTATTATAATTGAAAGTGTCATGGGGGTCATGCTATCCTTATCAGTATTGGCTTCGAGGTCCCCCACAGTTCGGAAGGTGCTAGAGAGGCTCTGATGAAAGCTGAAGAAAGAATATTGTTCTCTTTACTTGCTAAGAACAGTAAGAGGAAATGAAAGCAGAAAATTTCTTTAAATTAGAATTATATGACCTTGCTTTCGTAAATATGATATTTATCAACATTCTTCAGAAACGTGAGTTAATTCATGAATTCGATAACTAAATACCATATACAAAGACCATATCTAAAAAAATAGAAAAAATAGAATGTATTACTGTTCAAAGTGTCATCTGTTCTGTTGCTGCAGCACACAAGGTATATTGAAAGCAAACTATTTTTTTTTTCATCCCACTTTTTTCATCCATAAAAACTCTTACCACACATCTGTTGAAGTCTTCAGGATGATGCAATACTGCATTCAAACGAGCACAAATCAGATGCCATAGTAACTGTTGTCACAATCACTCCTTCAAATACAGGCATATCGAATGAGTATACTCTGAACAGCCAGTTACACCATTTTGCAGCAGAACACTCTGTATCACTTTCACGTGACTCACACTTTTATAAGTTATAGAAGTTTATGTAATTTATTATAAAGCATTATTAATATCCTTAAGAATATTAAGGATATTAAACGATGAATGCCGATATTTTAAAAAATTTCTGCACTCTCTAAACTGTTAAGTAATATAATTTTGACACCATTAAAATTTATTCTTTCGAAATTAATTACGTGCATTCCAATAAAGTGATATAATTAATGTCAACAAATGCATGTATTGGCTACCTGTAAGTCATAGCGAAATAGAAGTAGTTATTTCTTAGCTGGGCAAAAACTATCAGGATATCGCAGATAAAATTAAGAAAACAGCAACGAAACGAGCAAATTCATGCAAATTAAAATTCTACAGACTATATCCATAATATTATTCAGTTTAACACGAGGTTCTATAATTACATAAAATAATGGAAATAAATTACTTATTTCATTATTTTTGTTACCAAAAGTATTAATAACACTCTAAAAATAGTAAAATACTTGATAATTATTCAGCAATTAATTATTTGGCATACATTATAAAAAGTAATGAAATTTTTCCCTATTAAAATATATTGCAAATTTTAAAAATATACTTTTGATAAAATCGGAATGAATGTATTTATAGTTTACAACATATGTACTCATTAGTTTACTATGTATATATTTTATGTTCTACTAAGTAGGTGCTCCGTATATATTTATACACTTCACGTTCTTATGAAGTACATATAATTTTAACATAAAATATGCGTAAACGCATATAGAAACATCACTTATATCTAGGCTGCGTGATGCAACTAAGCTTAGGTTTCAGAATTTAAGCCACAGAATGCCATTAATTCTCTTATAATTTTTGCAACATTAAAAAACTTCATTTTAACGTGCGAAAAATAATAAGCTCTCACATTTCGCATCGTAATTTAGGACTCACTCCTTTTATTTCCTTAAATCAGATCCTGTCATTTTCATTGAAGTTGTACAGCATCAGTTGTTTAATTTGTTGTTGTAAATACAGTTACTGAATAAATTGTTTTGAAATCTTCTTTTGTACAAAATGTAAATATGAATGTTCATTTTTGTAATAAATTTCACTAATTTTTGTCCTTTCATTCCACACTATAAACAGTTTGTTTAAATTTTAAAATCTGATGTGTACATCACATGACTTCCTTGTACGGAATATTAAATTAGAAGCATTTTTTTCTTGAATTTAATTTAAACATATTGTATTGAAATAAATTTATTTCGTCGATAGCGCATAAACCGTAATAGAATAAATGCACTCTTTAAAATTCACTATATTTTTTTACCATAGCGACACTCTGGTCCTAGGTTCACTTTACAGCATTACATTTCATTCATTTTTTAACAGATCACAGATCATCATTCTTGTAAAAGGTATGCGGCCTGTTGAGGCTTTTACTAGTCTATATTCCTGAAGTTTCCAATTGCATCAAGATGAGAAAAAAAATCCGAACAAGCGGAAAGTCTTAAAGCACTGAGTGCGGATCTCATAAGAGAAAGACGTACGACGCCATCTCTTGCCTTCTGCAGAATCTTCAGTAATGGTAATATCTTTGGAGTGACGTTCATGTGGCGCCATCGGATTCCATGGGCTAAATCATAAGCAATAGCATATCTATGCCATAACTTTGAAGAAGTAGATTTTCCTTGACGTAGATTCTTGAGACAAATTCTATTTGGCATAAATACAGTGAAGAGCATAAAAATAAGTTGCAAAAAAGAGAAACATTTTTGTACAAGGTATATTATTTTTTTACCTCAGAATGCACGAAATTTATATCATCTTATGAATTATCTAATCGCTGCTACATGTTCTATTCAAATACTATAGTAAATTTAAAACGATGTATGAAAAAAACTAAGCAAACAAATGAAAAAAAACAGTTTTTCTCAGACGATTTAGTATTTCTCATTAAATTAATTCACTTTTTACTTCGCGACAAGGCAAAAATACAGAAACTCAAATATCTGTATTGAAAATTATGAAGTAAATCTTAAAACTTATTTCTCGAATAATTCCAAAATGGATTAGCATGATTATCACAATATAAAAAAGGCGTTATCTTCGTTATTGCCAAGCTTACTTTCTCTAGATTGGCAACAAATCTACTATACTGCCGTTTCAAATATAAACAAAAATGGCCGCCATGGGAAAAATAGTAAGTCTTAGCGGCACTTAAACAACTTTTAAATTTTTGATAATTCTAAAAATATTGCATGCATATTTACTAAAGGCCTAAAAACCTTAACCGGAAGATAAGAACAACATAATTCAATCAATTTTAAAGCAAAAGAATACACGATTTACAAACATATAAGAATAAAGGAACTGAAATTACTGATCCGAGTAACAGAGTTGATATACACTTTTGGTGCGGCTGATTGCAATAAAAATACAAGGTGCACAACTACATGTTATAGCAATCCTTTATAGAAATTTTCAACGTTCTGAGACTACTCATTTTTGAGTTATGCGAAATACGTACGTACGCACAGACGCCACGAAAATTTCTCCTCAGAATTCATCTTAAATAAGTTTTATAATTTTTTGGGGGGAAAGAGTCCTTTATTCCGTCCTTACGTACGGATTTTACGCGAAAATATCGTTAAATTGCATTCGATAGCTGTCAAAATGGATATTTTCGTTAAAATACGATGCCTGCTGAAGTTTTTCGCGATAACAATACTTCCTTTTTACTTCGCACAAGGAGGTAAAAAGTGCTACTGCATATAATAAATGCAACAGCATATAGCGTATTAAACTGATTAACCCATAACTTAAACAACATAGCACTTTACTGTAGATTAAATATGGCAAATCAAACAGATTGTCTATCTAAAGGCAGAGATGTCATTAAGAAAGTCATTCTGAAATAGTCTATTTTCTTTTACATTGTGTCTCGGGTAACTAGAAAAATAGCCAAACCGTTAAGCTTCTCAAAATTAAATGCGTGTTCAACTACACGCGGTAACAAAATCAATCACAGCTCGTTGAGATGCAACTAAAGGGACAGACAAATGCAAATTTAACTTGAAGTAGCAGTCAAAGATTACGCAATTTAAAAAGGACTCTAAGCTTGCTCAGAAATCCTAACTGGCTTATCAAATTCAAATGCGGGCAGCGAGAACCTATAAGGCCGAATACTTACATATTAACAGAGCTGGCAGGAACTAACACAGCGCGCCCACGCAGGCCAGAAACACGCTTTGTTCCAAATTCAAAAACCTCAGCTAAAATGCTAGCTAACTGATTTGCAGTCTGGTGACGAAACGAAAAGGAAAGAGTATAATCAAGGCTGAAATTATATATAACTGCTTAATTTAAATAATAATCTTATAATATTCTCCACCAGAATTTAAGCAATCACAAAGGTGGTCTTTAGCGACCTTGCTAAGATTTTAATTCTAAACCTACATATGAGCCAACTTTTATAAACATAAGTTTATAAAAGTTTTAGTTTATAAAATCTAAAATTTGTGAAATTTAAATTTAGTTTTAGACTTATAAGCGCATGTTTTATAAAGTCTAAAACTAAATTTAAATTTTACAGAAGATTCACTTTCCGAGGATATAATGCAGGATATCAATACTCTTTTTTGTTTCATCTTATCTTCTTTCAGGCATCTGTAAGGAAAAATATTTTAGCAAACACATCTTAAAATATTTCTATATTTCACTTTGCCGTTCAACTTCATCAAAATCTTTTACACTCTGTCCACAATTAATTTTTCACACCAGCATTGCTATGTATGCACTTGCGTTTGAAAAGTATACAAAGTTTGCAACAACTACCTCCTAACCGAAATCCTAAGCGTTAATCATTTAGAGAAACTAGATTTCACGAACACCTTTATAATCGTTAGCTTTTATGGATTTAGGAAAGTGAAGAACGTGCAGTGCCTTTGCCACGATACGAACTCTCCCAAATATGCATCGAGCGTGCTTCCAGTTACACCATAAAGGCATGAAGAAATTCGGGAGAAAATACTTTTAAAGCTATCCTTTAGAAAGGATGTCTGCGGATGAGAGTACCCAACTGCCAAATCTTGGTGGTGACAAATTATTGTCCACCATCTTTTAGTTTGGTTGCCACCTGTAGAGCTTTTTACAATTCTTCGAAATCAGAAAACTGGAGAAATCAGCAACGGATTTCGCTGGGATTTGAGCAACGGATCTCCCGATTACGCTTCGACAGTGCTCCCATTTACGAAGGCATGTGGAAAGCAAGGAGGAAAAACCTCATACAACCCCCTTTTTAAAAGCCGACTGGGGATTAGGGGACCCAATAGTCAAATCCTGATGGTGACAAATAATCGTCCACCACTTTAGTTCTCACGGTACCTTGTAGAGTCAATCACTGCAGTAACGTGAAAAATGTGCAATACCATCGCCGTGATTCGAACTCCGGACCTTGCGAAAACGCGTCGAGCTTGCTTTTAAGTACACCACGAAGGCATGAGGAAAGGAAGGAGGAAATACCTGATAACTGTACGTTTGAGAACTTAACTTTTAACTACTTACACTCATTGCGTTAGCTTTTACTTTGATTTAACTTGTTATCACTTGTTAGCTCGTACTTAAATTTATCGTACACACCTCAGAACAGTTAACTTTCACAAAACAGTAAACAGAACACTTTGCTTGTATAAAACAAATTACAAACATACTTCAAGAAAAAATTTGAATTCTTCTACATTCAAAGGACTACTTAGTTTACACTTTCATTCCGAGGCACAAAATTGCTTATATCTGTTCTAATACAAGCCTACCAAAATATTCTCAAAACAGTCAAATCACAATATCATGTTCATACTAGAAACTCAAAATCCTTCAGATAAATGCACTAATTTGAAAAAGCTGCTTGCTGGATAAAATTGAGTCGCTTGAGGGTAAAATTGTGTGGATAAACTCGCTTGAGTCAAAACTTAACCAGGAAGTGTTGTACTTAGATATAACTATAAAGTTCAGAAATTTTAGCATTAAATTAATTTTATTTGATGCTTTAGCAATAAATATTCAGAACAACGGAACACTTGTAGTTCCTCAGTTTGATACTTGGCGCAGTCGATAAGTTGGGAGACATTTTTCATTATTTACATAAAGCATCACTTAAATTAAGTAGTTTCACATTAGCTCTGATCAGGGGAACCGAAAATCTGTCTATCTGAAAGTCTTCTGAAGACGTTAGTGGTGGGAAAAGAAGGGAATGCGAGAACTATAAATCGTAATCCTCGGAAGATCCCCATTAAAAGTGTAATGAAACTTATGTTAGAATCACATATATGTTTTAATTAAATAATCCAGTCTTATCCAAATATCTTATATACCATGCGCATCGCAATATTATAAATATTTTTGTTACGCACAGTTAAACTAGTATGCAAAATTTAAACAACAAATTCATATTTCAAAATATAACCATGAAATTGTTTTAAAGAGCTTTTTGCATTCAATACAATGAAAACTCATCTAAGTAAAAAGTCCATGTATATGTAAATATCAGCACCGAAATTTCAAAGTGTACGCTAGAGTACAACAAAATGAGAGAAGTCCGCCCGCGCAGCGGAAGGCAAATTAAAAAGAAGAAAAGAAGGCGCATTTAAAGGCATTTCTTCTGTAAATGAAAGTGATGGCACAGATACGTGCAGTATGGCCCCAATTCAACATCAGGACGCCTTTACATGTGCTAGAATAATTGGTGAGCTGTCATAAGGGGCGTAATTTGATGTCTATCGTCTAAGAATATGCAACCGAAAAGGTGTTGTTTAACGAGCTTTTGAAAGCCTTTTAAACGTGTACAGTTGCGCGCCTCCAACCTGCACGCAACCAAGT